TAAAAACTTGTAATGATACTATCAGAGTGTATATGCAGTAATTCATCACTCAATTTAAGATCTGAATATAACCAATACCATTGAATCATCTGAGTGTGTTCCTTTTCTATTTTGTATTATATACCTTCTGTATTCTATTTCATTCTTCCATATTCTAGTCAAGTACTAAATTTGGTGTTCATTGATGCTTTGCTCTTTATTTTAAAAAATTTCCCCTTCCCTTTATTTCCATGTCTCTAGTTTTATTTTGCTTGTTTGTTCTGTTGATTGGGTTCCACTTATAGGTGAGATCTTATGGTGTTTGTCTTTTACCGCCCAGCTTATTTCACTTTAGCATAATGCTCTCCAGTTCCATCCACGCTGTCACAAAGGGTGGGAGCTCCTTCTTTCTTTATGTTGCATAGTATTCCACTGCATAAATGTTCCACAGTGTTTTGATCTACTCATTTACTGATGGGCACTCAGGCTCTTTTCTGCATGTGGCTATTGTAAAAACGCTGCTATGAAGAAATGCTTCTACAAGGAGGTCATACAGAGGGCCCATAGACATATAAAGGATGCTCAATATCACTAGCCATTAGAGACACAAATCAAAACCACAATGAGATACCACTTCACACTGGTCAGAATGACCATCATTAATGAATAAATAAACAACAAGTGCTGGTGAGGATGTTGGGAAAAGGGAACCCTGGTGCACTCTTGGTGGAAATGCCAGCTGGAGCAGCCACTGTGGAAAGCAGTATGGAATTTCCTCAAAACAGTAAGGGTGGAACTGTCTTTTGACCCAGTGATCCCACTGCTGGAATTATACCCTAAGAATCCTGAAACACCAATTCAAAAGAACCTATGCACCCCAATGTTCATAGCAGCATTATTTATAATAGCCAAGTGCTAGAAACAGCCTAAGTGCCCATCGGTAAATGAATGGATCAAAAAACTAGGGTACATTTACACAATGGAATACTGCAAAGCAGAAAAAAGGAGGAACTCTTACCCTTTGCAACGGCATGGATGGAACTGGAGAGCATTATGCTAAGTGAAATAAGCCAGGAGGTGAAAGATAAATACCATATGATCTCACCTATAAGTGGAACCTAATTGAAAAAACAAACCAATGAGCAAAATAGAACCAGAGACATGGAAATAAAGAACAAACTGACAGTGACCAGAGGGAAGAAAGGATGGAGATAATGGGGGAAAGAGGAGGGAGGACAAGTCAAGGTATGTGGGTAGAGGACCCATGGGCACAGACAACGGGGTTGGGGTTGAGTATGGGAGGGTGAGCAGGGCAGGAGAGAGCAATGGGGAAAATGTGAGACAACTGCAATTAAACAACAATTATTGAAAAAAAAAAAAAAGAAATTCTATCCTCCCAAAGGCCAAATGTATTTTCCTACATATTCTAAATGAATTAAAATGGGCCATTCACTTTATGTCTGTAATTCTTCTGGGATTAATTTTTGTGTGTAGTGAAATAGAAAAAATTATGTATTTTTTTCAATTTGGAAAAGTAATACTGCAGCACTTAGTTTCTCTTTTCTACAGTGATCTTCGCTATCACATCTGTTAGATTTTAAATTGTATATATGCAATGAGCTCTTTCTGAATTCTCTATTCTGTCCTATTGGTCACTTTTTCTATACTTATAGCAAGACATTATTTACTATACATCTTAATATATAAAAATGTAAACCCCTTTACCTCCTTTTCCTGTTCTGCTACCTTCCTCTCTCCTCCTCCGTATCCTTCTGGCTATTCATGGGCCTTTGTTCTTTTATAAAAATATTAAAATTAGAATGATGCATTTCTTGAGAATGCTGCTGGAATTTGGTTAAAATTATTTTGCATTTATAAGATTCATTTGGAGATAAATTATATCATTAAATATTGAAGTTTTCTTACCTAAAAATTTGGTAATATCTCACCATTTTCAAGTTTTATTACATAGATTCATTGCTACTTTATATTGTGTGGATATGATACTGCATTTTGTACATTTGCATGTATATTAATTTATTAAGCAGATTCTGAGTCCCCACTGTGAAAGATGCTATTTCAGTTCATAAGATAGTTTTAAAAAAATTAAGAAACTAAACAGAATTTTGACAACTTTGTTACACCCCCTTTTGGTTTCTATGGTTGCTTTTTGAGGAGTCTGTTATTATTCTGTCTTTTTTATATATAATCTTTCATTTATCTTCTCTGTGCCTTCAGTTTCATTACAATGTGTGCTTTTTTTTCCCCTAAATTTCCTCCTTGGTACATTCTTTGCTTTTGGTATATGTTACTACATCTCTGATAAGCTGCGAAATTTTCTAGCCTTTTGTTCTCTTTTACATATAGAGAAAAAAAAAAACTCTATATGTAATGCTGTTTGCTGCGTTTTGCAAACAGCAGCAAAAAATGGCTGTTTGCAGCTATTCTAGTCAAAGTTTTTACTATAAACCTAATTACATTTATTTTAACAAAGGAGAAAATTGAGACAGAGAGTAAGTAACTTGCCAAAACTGACCACCAAAAAATGTCAGTAATTCAAATCTCTTCATATGGGATTTGATTATGTGTAATCTGGGTCTTCTTCTATGCTTTGTGTCTTTTAACCTCTATCTCATATTTTTCTCTATCCCTGTTTTGCTAAGATATTATTATAGATCTAGCTGCCATTTCATTAATTATTATTTTAGCTATGTCTAATCTGTTTAGTCCATGTAGAGCATTGAAAAATTTGTCATTTTGAAAGGTTCTAAAAGTTTTATTTTAAATTTTTTTGATAAATTTTGATAGTTTCTTTTCTTTCTCCTTTTTTATTCTATATTTTTATTTTTTAAATATTTACATATAGGAAATTTATTTTTCATATCTGACAGTCTGAATTCTGAATTATTTGGTTGGTTATTATGTTTGTTTTCATTTTTTTTCTTTTTATTTTTATTCCCCTCTACACTACCCTGCCCCATTCCCCCAGCATTCCCCCCACCTTAGTTCCTGTCCATGGGTCACACATATAAGTTCTTTAGCTTCTCCTTTTCCTGTACTATTCTTAACCTCCCCCTGAAGGGGGAGCTATTTCATACCTACTATTTATGCTGCTTAGTCTCCGTACCTTTTCCCCCAATTCTTTCCTTTCCCTTCCCCTCTGTTTTACTGTTCATAGTTTTTGATCTTTTTCTTAGATAAGTCATTTTAACATCTAGGAAGCACTTTATCTGCCCTTCCATTCTAAATAATAGCTTTGCTGGATAGAGTAATCTTGGATGTAGGTCCTTGCTTTTCATGACTTTGAAAACTTCTTCCCAGCCCCTTCTTGCCTGCAAGGTTTCTTTTGAGAAATCAGCTGATAGTCTTATGGGAACTCTTTTATAGGTAACTGTATCCTTTTTTCTTCTTGCTTTTAAGATTCTCTCCTTTTCTTTAATCTTAGGTAATGTAGTTATATGTGCCTTGGTGGGTGCTCCCTTGGGTCCAACTTCTTTGGGATTCTTTGAGCTTCCTGGATTTCCTGGAAGTCTATTTCCTTGGCCAGACTGAGGAAGATCTCCATTATTTTTTCAAATAAGTTTTCAGTTTCTTGCTCTTCCTCTTCTCTTCTGGCACCCATATGATTCAGATGTTGGAATGTTTAATGTCCCAGAGGTTCCTAAGCCTCTCCTTATTTTTTTGAATTCTTGTTTCTTCATTCTGTTCTGGTTGAATGTTTATCCCTTCCTTCTGCTTCCAATTGTTGATTTGAGTCCAAGTTTCCTTCCCTTTACTGTTGGTTCCCTGTATATTTGTCTTTATTTTACTTTGTATAGCCTTTGTTTTTTCCTCCTTTTGCGACCATACTCAACCAATTCAGTGAGCATCCAGATTACCAGTGTTTTGAACTGTGCATCTGATAGGTTGCCTAGCTGTTCAATGCTTAGTTCTATTTTTGGAGCTTTTATCTGTTTTTTCATTTGGGCTATATTTCTTTGTCTTGACATGCCTTGGAAATTGTTGGAAAGGACAGAAACTTAGGTATTAACCAAGGTCTGTCTTCATTTCTGTTGACCCTCATTTATGGATGCTTATTTTTATGTTTGCTTGTTGAATTTTTATTGTTGACTTACATGTATATAGCTTATTGAATCAAATCTGGAAGAATTCTGAGGACATAAAAGGGAGAACTTTAACTCTATATAAGTTTTATATTCTTCAAGTTCCAGGTTTATACTGACCTGGGACCACTTAGCTTTCTTTAATGATTTTATGATTAATGCTAAAGTTTCAAGTTTTGTTCCAATCTTGCCAAGACCCAAAGGCATAACTCCTGGATAGCAGTGCTGATGAAGGCATCTACCTCAATGAAATCTCCTTTAAAATTCCCTGCTCCATTTACCTCTGTTGCTTACTGCTTTCTGTTCTGGTTTCAACTATGTATTTTTTCTCTTTTTAGAAATTTCCCTAATGTTTAGAGAACACAGCAATATTTTAAAAACTTATTTGCTAGAGCTTATAGTAAGCTCTGGTTACATTATAGCAAGAGGATGCTTCAGGATAACTAATTCACCTTCTGACCATTCTTTTGGTTTTCTACTATTCCTTAAGACTCTACTATTTAATTTTTAAACTTCAATATAGGTAATATTCCTTGTAAGTTAAGAGTAAAAAAACTCTATATGTAATGCACAACAAAATTATACCATATTTATCCAATCGGATGTTATCCTGATCACTTAAATTTCTTTAAATATTAAACCACCATATTTTTAAAGCTATTAGAAATCTAGATATTAAGAACAGTGATAATTTTTTCTATAATTGTGAGTACAAAATTTCGAATGTAATAACCTGATTTTGAAGGTTTATTTGTATTCCAGTAGACATTTAGAAAACAATAGCAAATTGTTTCTTACATATTTATTAGTTTCTCTTTTCATTAATTATACCTGTTTATTAATCAGAATATAACTTTTGGGGGGCAAAATAACTTGGAAAAAACCTCAAAATCCATATTTTTCTAATTCTCACAAAAGGATATGTTTTATTGATTTTGAGAGAAAGGAAGAGAGACATCAATGTGAGAGAGAAGCATCGATTGGTTGCCTCCTGTAGTGCCCTGACTGGAGATTGAACATGCAACATAGGTATGTGCCCTGACTGGGACATGAACCTGCAACCCTTTGGTGTACAGGATGATGTTCCAGCCAACTGAGCCACACCGACCAGGGAAAACTCAAAATTCATTTATGACTAGTTTGAAATTTTTTTTCTCTGACTACAAAAGAGTTACTACTTGGGTTCTATCTTATAGTATTTATTGTTTAGTTTTATTTAAAGGCAAATTAACTATTCATGGTTTTTATATGTATGATAATGTGTCAGTATGAGAGCCAGAACTAAAACATGTTTGAAACAATGTTGTTTATACAAAATTTTATCACTTTATGTCAACAAATGACCATTTTAAATATAATTATAATTAATATAATATAAGTAATCTAGTATAACAAGTTCCCTCCTTCTATGCATACTGTGCATATGTACAATGCCATTCCTAAAGTAAAAATATCCTAACAGTTTAAATATAATAAAAATAATTGTTGAGAAGCCTTTCACTTGTCCTTGGGCCCAAGATATCTCCAAAAAGGGACTAAAAAGTATCAGACATCTCAAAAATTTCTATGCCAGTGCATTTCTGTGATTCAAATGACCAATTTCTGCTTAAGAGATAAAACTGCACTATATGAATAGGGGAAGAGTTCATTTGTTTTAAGAAAGAATTTAGATATTTTGCATAGAAGAATTAGTATACATGACAGATTACTTTCAGAGCTCACTGTAAAATGTAGTTTTCAGTTGCTGCCTCCGTGCTATGTCTTCCAAACCCAAACAGACAGATGTGCTTTCATTATTTTATTGACTTTTTATATTTATTGATAATCGTTGTAACTATTTTTAATGTGAAGGCTTGTAAAGCAATACTTGGGGATTTAACAAACCAAATGTATTAATGGATCACAAACGGCCCAAATATCCTTCCTCTATCAAACTTCACTGAGTAGTAGTAATTTTTTCCTGGTCAAGGGCTAATTACAATTCTTCTTGGAAACAAGATACTTCAGAATAATCACCAAAAATATTGATGCACTGTAAAGGATGATAGAGTTCAATGTATTAAATAAAGATGTAAAAACTCTCTTTCTTGACTTCCAGTCAAGATGGCAGTGTAGGCAGACATGGCTCATCTCTTTGCACAACCACATCAAAATTACAACTAACATATAGAACAACTACCACTCAGAAACTTTCAAAATTGAGTCAAATTGGCGTCTGACAACTACGGAATTAAAGAAACTACATCCATCCATTTGGTAGGAAGGTATGCAGATGCAGAACAGGCTGGTCTCTCACCTACATATGATGGATAAAAATTCGGGAAGGATATCTCAGGAGTGAGGAGTCCCAGCCCCACACCAGGCCCCCTAACCAAGGGTTTCAGTGCTAGGAAGATAAGTCCCCACAACTTCTGGCTGCAAAAACCAGTGGGGATTGAAATGGTGGAAGAATCTTCTGGAGCCCCTAAGAAGTTACTCTAAGAACCCACACAAAAACTCACCTACTCAGATTCCTTCTGAACTCTAGCATTGGGGTAGCAACTTGAAAGGCTCCAGTGGCATGCAGGGAGAAACCGAAGTGTCTGACATAAAGGTAAGCAGAGACCATTGTCCCTTTTCTAACCATCCCCACTCCCCGCCCCACCCCACAGAGCTAGCAAACTGGTGTCATATCTGAGGCACCATCAATCTGGCTAACACTGTTTGACCAGCCTTGGAGATTCCCAGAGACTCTGCCCCATCCGATTTACAGGCCCACCCAAGTTGCTTTTCCATATGTATGGCTGTTCTTGGCTCATGCTTTACAACTTCCTTAATCCTATCAAACAAGCAACAGCTGGCCTTAGTGAGGCCTATCATTAGCAGTAGCCAAACTAGTTTCAAAGCTTGGGTTTTCCTGGGAATCTCCAAGCCCAGCACAAGTAGTGCCCATCTCATATTGCTTATAACTCAGGCAGGGTGGCCTGGTAAAACACAGGTGGGGTCGACCTTGGACTGCATCACCCAGGAAATTCCAGGCCCAGTGAACCCAGTGGACAACTGCAGACCATATCAGAGCACCACCATCCTGCCCCTACATGGCTGATCCTCCATAGAGGGCAGAGTTGGTGGTAAGTGGTCACAGCCATTCCTTGCAGTTGACTGGCCTGGGTAAAACCCTTCCATTGATCTTCCAACAGCAACCAAGGCACAAGAGGAGGGTGTACTCAGCCCACATCAAAGGCACACATCAAGCACTTAGCTTGTATAATAGGGGACACTGTGTCATTGGACCCTACAGGACACCTATTACATTAGGCCACACTACAAAGACATGGGGTCAAAGCAATTCAACCTAATACACAGAAATAAACACAGGGAGGCTGCCAAAATGAGGAGATAAAGAAGCATGGCCCAAATGAAAGAACAGATCAAAGCTCCAGAAAAAGAGCTAAATGAAATGGAGATAATCAATCTATCAGACGCAAAGTTCAAAACACTGATTATAAGGATGCTCGAGGACTTCAGCAGTACAAAAAAGGTCCAGTGGTAACAAACGATACATTAATTGAAATAAAGAACAATTTACAGGGAAACAACAGTAGAGTGGATGAAGCCAAGAATCAAATCATATGATTTGGACCATAAGGAAGCAAAAAACAAGCAATCAGAACAACAAGAAGAAAAAAAGAATCCAAAAAAATGAGGATAATATAAATAGCCTTTGGGACAACTTTAACAGGTCTAACAGTCACATCATAGGGGTGCCAGGAGAAGAGAAAGAGCAATAAATTGGAGATCTACTTGAAAAAATAATGAAAGAAAACTTTCCTAATTTGGTGAAGGAAATAGACAGGCAAGTCTAGGAAGCACAGAGAGTCCCAAATATTGTGGATGCAAAGAGGCCCACTCTAAGATACAACATAATTAAATTGTCAAAAGTTAAAGAGAAAGAGAGAATCTTGAAAACAGCAACATAAAAGAAGTTAGTTACCCACAGGGGAGTTCCTATAAGACTTTCAGCTGATTTCTCAAAAGAAACTTTGCAGGTTAGAAGAGATTGGCAAGAAATATTCAAAGTCGTGAAAAGCAGGGACCTACAGCCAAGATTGCTCTACCCATCAAAGCTATCATTTAGAATGGAAGGGCAGATAAAGAGCTTCCCAGGCAAGAAAAGACTAAAAGAGTTCACCATCACCAGATCATTCTTATATGAAATGTTAAAGAGACTTATTTAAGAAAAAGATCAAAACTATAAACAGTCAAATGGCAATAAATACATATCAGTCAACAATTGAATCTGAAAAACAAACTAAGCAAGCAAGAAGAACAGGGACAGAATCATGGACACAGGGAGTGTTTTGATGGTTGCCAGATGAGAGGGGGTTATGGAGGAATGGGTGAAGAGGTGAGGAAATTAAGAAGTACAAATAGGTAGTTACAGAGTAGCCATGGGGATGTAAAGTACAGTACAGGAAATGGAGAAGCCAAAGAACTTATATGCATGACCTATGGACATGAACAATGGTGGGGGGATTGCCTGAGGGAGTGGGGGTTGCTGGGTGGATGGGGGGCAAAGGTGAAAAAATCAGGACAACTGTAATAGCATAATCAATAAAATATAATTAAAAAATAAAATTTCTCCTTCTTTAAATAATTACCATTATTTAGAGGGTGCTTATTAAATACTGAACGACCTGCTTCCAGGTTTATAATAATAAGTTATTAAGGAACCCACTAGAAATGTCAATATTTCACAATATTAGATAATTGTTATGCCTGTTTTTACACATGCAGCATGTGTATTCTGGCTTTCTTCAGTCACAAACTGAGTAATTTAATAGTTTTTCGAAGGTCATGGATAATTGGTGTTCAAAATATAAACCCACCATTATATTTCCTACACTCATAATTCATGATCAAGTTCCTTTTGCAAGGAGACTTGCCATGTTAATTAGAAAAATAACAATAATAAAAGATACCACCTACTCCTACTCTTAGCTATGTGCCAAACTGTGCAAAAGGCTGCTCAAACATGATCTCATTAATGCTCACAACATTCTTAATTAGCTTTATTTTACAAAGGAGAAAATTGAGACATAAAGAGAATAAGTATCTTGCCAAAACTCACATCATCAGAAAATGTCAGAAACAGAACTAAAACTTCAGTGTGTTGTATATAAACCCTGCTTTTTCTAGAACCTATGTGTGAACATGGCTTAAAATGTAGTAAGTTAACAATGTAAAATACACTCCCATGAAGTATGAAGTATGAAGTGTACATGCTCTCCAACCAGGTAGTCACAATTTAAATTACATTTAGCATTAACTGAAAGGTACCTCTGGGGCAAAAGAGGAGGCTCATTCTGTGACAGGTACAATAATGTGAATGGATTTCAGTTGTTTTCCTAAATCTTGAAGAGAGCTTTAGAAAATGGGATAGATATGATTTGTCAGATGGACAATGAGAGATCCAAGGGGTAAAGAGAAACCATTTACTCTAGCCACCTTATTTATTTCCTTTTCTCTTATTCCTGTCAAAGAATGGCTCTACTTTTTGCTCAGAATAGCCTTCTAATCCTTGCCTACCAAGCCACACGTATTTCCTTATCAAAAATTTGACTCTGTGCCAGCATCCCTAAGGAGCCCTACTCTGACAATAGGTCAAATAAGTGCATCCTCTGCAGCTTCTCTGACAACAGTATTCCCTAAGCACCTTTATTTTAGAATTTTAAACATTTTTCTCAAAAACAAAAAGAAGAAGATTATATCTAATTTGTCCTTTTGTTATGTGTGAGTCTAAACTCAGATACTCTTTTGTCTCTTTTGTACTACCATGAAGGTCAAGAAATATTTAATGCATTAAGTGATCTATTTGTTTGGTAGAATACAAGAATGTTTAGAAATGGCTGGTAAAAGAGTTTGAGTGTACAGTTCTGAAAAAACAAGTAATTCCCTCATCAGTAATTATGACATGATATCTTAGCTACGGTGTGTTGTTGATGGTAAGATGTCATCGAGAGGGATTTATGGTTTCATTGGGGAAAGCCTCCAATGCAGGGCTGGCATAAAATCTCTACCCATCAAAAATACATGGAGGAGAACCAGAAGCTTCTGTGGTGGAGAAAATGACAGTAACTTAACAAGGGGATGGGAGAGGTCACTATTCCTTTTTTTGCAAAATATATCAGGTACCTACCTTTTGCTCTGTAAATTCATAGGGAATCAGAAGAGAATGAAACATATGAAGACCCTGCAGAGAACAGCATACTGCCTGAGGGTCCCAGAATGCTGCAAAGTGGAACCTTTTGTTAGGGGATGCAGGTAAGGATTTGAGGGGGAGGGCTAAGTGATGTGAGGGGAAAAGTTGACCATGCACAGGTAAAGAAAATATTCAAAGATTGAGATACCAGTGCTACTTCATTTACCAGGCAATGCATCATCATTCTTAGATATTATTGTCTGACAGTTAAACTTTTTTACATAACCTTATGTCATAAAGGAAGTGCATATGCAATATACGGAGCTGGCAGGGAAGAAGACTATCATGGCTTTTTGAAGCATAAAAATTCTCAAGATTACGACAAAATTAAGGGGAAATTTATAGGAAAAACATGCTCCTTCTGATTCCTTTACTGTGGTGATAGCTAGAAAGTTACAGACATTGTCTAAATAAATTAGCTTTTTCAGAAATTGCTAGAAATTTTTTTCCTGACAGTTGCTTCTGACACACAGGCATTGATCTCAGCGGCTTTGGAATATACTCTGTTGGTCTGAGGGAGGCAGGCTCCATCCATCACTATTACAGGAGGAATGTGCTCTCTGTGGAATCCTTTAAAGAGCTACAACAAGTTCACTTCCTCCTATTGGTGGTAGAGTGGGTTGCATTTGTCTGGCAATTGAATGTGACTCCCTACCAAGTCTGAAGGTGCATGTAGCACATCCAACAGTGTGCATAGAAAGAAAGATCAAGTAGGCCTGCCCCTCTCTTCCGAACTTCAAGCTCACTGATCTCAGTAGAATGTCACTGTCCCCTTTATGACAGCCACTCATTTCCCAGGCCTGCTGAGTTTCCAGACTGCCTTCCTATTGTATGTGTACACAGACTGATTATAAGTTCACCACTTTCTTCCACCTTTTTGTACAGGGTATTATCTATGACAGATGAGTGCAATAAAGTGAATCCATTTTTTTCCCCCTCTTGCAGGCAGCACAGTGAGTTCTAACCAACAAAGGCACATTGAGGTAAATCTTTAACGGTGTCACCACATTGACTTTCATCATTTTCACCTTTCCTTTCACTGATTTTTATCCCTGGAGTTGTAAAACATAGTTTCACATTGTGACCGTCCTCTAGTCCTCGGTAGAATTAGTTACACTGACAGGAACATACTCTTTTTCATAGACACTCCATCACAGCTCAGCCTTCGTTGCCTCTCTCTCTGCACATATTCTATTTCATAGATAAAAGGTCAGAGTTTCAAAGGATGAAAAATTTTCAAAAAAGTCAAGCTTTCATTTAAAAACTAATACAGAACTAGGACACTACTGAAAAGAAGATAAAATTTTAACAGGAAGAGAAAATATTTTCTCTATATTAAGAAAAATTCAAAACAGCATATATATATTTTGTAAAGATTTTATTCTATTAACATTATACTACATATGTATAAAATATATGATTGTTTTTCTATTTTCTTTTTTATTTATTAATGAATATGTTTGATTTGATAATGAGATTTAAAGTTTGTGAAGGAAAAAACAGAAAATAGGAAATGACAAATACTATAAGGTTTTCTTTAATTACATACTAATTAGCCAACATAAACAAAAACCAATTTGAAAATAAAAGATTGGTACAAATTTGTCATTTTATTTATTGTTTATTGCAAAAAGAAAAAATATTTCAAAGAGGAGGAGGCGTGCAAGAAATCAGCACTGTTATACCACACTCAGCTCTATTTTTCTAAAGTCACAAGAAATTTTAAAACAAATAGGGGTGCTTTGTAGGGAAGGCACATTTCAAGGCAACTTTACAGAAATAATGTGAAAGAATACACTGGAAAATGGAGGTACAGAACCTCAAAGCTAACTTTTGCCTATTTAACCATTTAAATGATTGCTATCATTTTCTTTGAAAATTGTTAATACTTTAGGACAATTATGTCTAACTTTTAGATTATTCTATCTTTCTTTCATTTAATCAACTTGTCATGAATCCCTCCTATGTGGCTCTCATTCAAATCTTTCCGTGGTATTTCTTTTTCACTGTGCTAAGTGGCTCAGAATGTCAATAAGAGAACCAGTTAAGGAAGATATAGCCAAGGAAGGTAGATAGTAAAGACTAAAGAGAGACCGTTTGGAGGATAACATTCTGGAAACACCCAAACCGAAACAAAAGGAAACCATGGTGCATTATAAAGACAATCTGGGAGGTGATTTTTGTTTTCTTAGAGAAAGAAACATAAACAAAACAAGTATTTTATATGAGAAAGAAATTATTCTTTTACAGAAAATTTGAAGCCCAGACAGAGCCAAATATTTAATTCATTTGCAAAAACCAAAAAGTAAAATTTGGGGGTCATTTGCAGAGCTTGCTTCAAACAAGGGTATTGGTCCTAAAACTAGGTTGTACATCTGCGAATCTTATACTTGAGGTCCAGTTAATTTGTGCCTGAATTAGTCAAGATCACACCTTTGATACTAGGAGGAGATCTAGAATATTAGCATTTTTAGTAAATAGATAAACAGTATCTATCCCTGACAGATAGCACTGCTCATCAAATGCAAGAAGAGAAGACGATCAGACCTATTCTGTATACATGTTTGAGAATTAAAAAGAATATTTGTGAGAGAGATGATATGTGTAAATAAATAGCAACTGTGATAAATTGAAGTAAGATTGCCAAATTTAGCAGATAAAAATGTAAAACTGCCAGTTAACTTGAATTTCAGACAGAAAACAAATAATTTTTTAGTATACATATGTCGTGTGCAAAAATACTCATTATTTATCTGACATTCAAATTTTAATGAGCTTCTTATATTTTGACAACTCTAGGAATTAGGGAAAAAATAAGGTAAGATTAGAAATTGAAATCATTGTAACTCTTTTGGAAAAGGAAAGGAAGAAAGGAAAGAAAAGAAGGAAGAGAGGGAAAGAAGGAAAATAGAAAAAAGAAGAAAGAACAGAAGGAAGCGGGGAGAAAGAAATCTTTTGTAGTTCCAAGGAAAGGTGGCAAACTATCTTCCTACTTTCTAAGAAGACGTAAGAAAAAGTATGCCATATAGGAGGATGAATACTAGACTTTTATAATGTGGCATATCTTTTCCACAACTGCTTCAAGAATAGGATTAAAAAATTCAATTCAGATGGTTATATTGAAACAGGATTTAGAGCTTATTATATTGTATATACCATTTCTTTTTTGTTTTCTATTATGAAATATTTCAAACATACAGAAAAATATAGACAGCAATGTAACAAATACATGTGTGGGCACAAAAAAAGGCTCTGTAATATCTAACTGAAAAATAACCTCACAGGGTGACCTGGTCATACATTTCTCACGGGGCAAGTCCTAGCGCGTAGTCATGCCCCAGGCCTGGAGAAGGTTTATCTTTGCCTTGAGCAAGTCCTGTCCTTTGCTCTTGTGCAGCTAGCTTAACACACCTTTGAAATGCCAGAGGTAATCCTCTTTTTTATACCCCTCAGTGGCATAACCACCCTCAAGGGAGCACATAACCTTGTTAATTATTCTGTATCTTGCTTTCTCCCACCTTCAAATATTCTTCCTCCTTAAAAGTGCATAGAAAAAACTATAAAACTGTCCTTCTCCCGAACATCAGTTTGTCTCCCAAACTCAAAAAAATTATCTGGAGGTTTGGACATTTCTTGCTTCAACACATGTATCTCATCCCAGATTTAACAAATTGTTTCCATTTTCCATGTTGTTTCAGATAATTTTTTTGTAAAATAAAAATTAACACTAGAAACGAAGGTCTCTTATCCTTTTCAACCTGTTCCTCTTATTTCTTCCCCAGATATATCACTATTCTGAATAGTCTTCCTGATATATTTTATACTGTTTTAATATATTATATATGTGTATTTATATAATCTATGCACACATACATGTATATATTCATATGTCCACAAAATTTTATATCATTTGGTTTAATACCTATATTTTAAAATTTCCATAAAAAGTACCCTTCTTCAACTTGTACTATTTACAAAAATTAGTTTTTTATCATCTATTAATGTTGACACACTAAATTTGGTCACCATTTATTTTAACTGCTGCACATTATAAATCTGCTACAATATATTACTTTCTTGATAAGTATTTAAGCTGTTTCCAGTTTTCATTGTTACAAACAATGCCACAATAAATATCTATATGCACATCTCTCTAAGCACATATCTGAGAACTCCCCTGGGTATATACCTAAAAATGGAATTGCTAGATTATAGTTTATAAACATCTTCAATTTTGTTAGTTATTAATAAACTGTTCTTTAAAATGGGCTCCCAAATTTACTCTCTCACCCACAATGTAGATATATTTCATTGGCTTAAGTCTTAATCAACACAGGATTTTCAGATATTAAAAATTTGCCAGACTGATGAATGCTGTTTAATTTGCATTCTCTGATTACTGATGAGATTGAGTATGTTTCATATATTTATTGTCTCTTCTGATATCCTTCTCAATGTATTATTTTGTTTTTGTTCTTGAGTGTTGAGAGAGAGAGAAATATGGAACTCCTACCTTTTGTGACAACGTGGATGGAACTGGAGGATATTAAGCTAAGTGAAATAAGGCAGTTGATGAAAGACAAATAACATATGATCTCACCTATAAGTGGAATATATTCAACAAAATAAACTAACGAACAGAATAAATCACAGGCATGGAAACATAGAGCAGACTGAAGGGGACCAGAGGGGTTGGGGAAAGAGGACAATGGTGGAAAGAAGGGGAAGGGACTAAACAAAGAACATGTATGAATGACCCATAGACATGGACAACAGAGTGGGAATTGATTGTGGGAGCAGGGGGTGGGAGTGGGATGGGTAAAGGGGGATAAAGGGGTAAAAATTGAGACAACTCTAATAGAATAAACATGGCTTATAAATTTAAAATTAAATTAAATTAAATTAAAAAGAGAAATAAATACATATAAAAAAGAATATAACTTGGTTTTAAATTGATTCTATACTTTTATACCTAAAGCCTATTCAAGTCATCAGAATGCCTTTTATAAAAAAAAAAAAAAAGAGAGAGAGAGAGAAAATAAGAGCTCTATTATAGAAGAAG